TTTTTAACACTGGTCTTTGCACATTATAATATTTTGTCTTGTCAAGCTGCCCTTTGGCATTTTGTCAGCTCTTTGACTCCATCATTTCTTCCATTTGCCTTAGCTACTCTATGACTAAGAGCAAGTTTCAGTGTCTTTTCTGACATCCACTTTGATCTTTTCTTTCTTGTCTTAGTGTTTTTTGCTTCTTTGTGAGTGATGTTCTTAATGTCTTCCTACAGCTCCTCGGGTCCTCTCTCAGTAGTGTTCAATGCAATAATTCTGTTCCTGAGACATTCTCAACATTTGTGTGGGGTAGGTTCAAGGTCATATTTTGCCTCTTATGGACTTGTTTTAATTTTCTTCAGCTTCACTGTGATTGACATATGAACAGTTGATGACCTGTTCTACAGTTGGCCCTGGTCTGATTTTAGTTGCTGACATTGAGTCTCCATCATTGGTCCCACCAAAGCCCCAAAATACCAAACGCACTGGCATGAATCGGTGCTGACTCATAGCAGTCCGCTGCGAATTTCGGAGGCTTTAACTGTTTATGGGAGCAGAAAGCCCAGTCTTTCTCCTGAGGAGCTGCTGGTGGTTTCAAACTGCTGACCATAAAGAATGCAGCCCAACTCATAACCACTACACTACCCGGGCGCCTGTTTCTTCCCACAGATATAATTTCATTTCTGTGTATTCCATTTGGAGAAGTCCATGTGTATAGTCACTGTGTTGTTGAAAAAAATATTACTTGTTCATCAGTTTGTGTATTCTGTGCATAGCATCAAAATAGTGTCAGATACCGCAGGGCTGATTGGTGGAAGCTGAGCATTATCAGAGTAGTCCCTGAGCATGGGCTCTTCAGGTCAGAAGGCACTTTAAATGTGACTGAGGAGGAGTTGATTCCTCAAACTAGAGTTGACCATGGGGATGCGAATGGAGTAGAACCTGTGAGAATAATTCTTTGGCATCTTCGTTTGTTGATGGGGCACAACTCAAAATGGAAAGAGACAGCTGCAAAAATCTACTAATAATCAGAACTTGGAATGTATGAAGTAGGAATCTAGTAAAATTGGAAATTGCCAAAAATGAAATGGAATGCATAAAGATTGCTATTCTAAGTGTTAGTGAGCTGAAATGGACTGGCATTCGCCATTTCAAATCAGAAAATCATATGGTTTACTCTGCCATGAAAACACAATCAACAGGAATGTGCATTCATTGTCAAGGAGGACATTTCAAGATCTATTTCAAAGTACAGTGCAGTCTGTAATAGGATTATGTCTATCAGCATTCAAGGAAACCCAATCAATACCACCATCACTCTCATTTATGCACCAATCATGAAAGCTAATGATGCAGAAATGGAAGAATTATACCAGTGTCTTCAGTCTGAAATCGATCAAATATGTGATCAAGATGCACTGATAATTATTTGAGATTAGAATGCAAAATTTCGAAACAAAGAGGAAGGAACAGTAGTTAGATAATATGGTTTTGGTGATAGGAAAAAAGCTGGAGATCACTTGATAGAATTTTGCAAGACCAATGACTTTAATAGCAAATACGTTTTCAACAACACTAATAGCTGCGTTATAAGACAGTCAGATTGGCTTGTAGTGTTTCCAGGGCTGTGATCTTTATCAGTGGAGCAGCTGGTGAACCTCCGACCTTTTGGTTTTGAACCTCCAACCTTTTGGTTAGCAGCCCAGTACTTAACCATTGCTCTATAAGGGTACCTTATGCTATTGTATAGTTGACTTTTTTCATTTATTATTATGGAAGCATTTTCTCATGTCATTAAAATTGTTTGTAACAAATATTTTAAGAGTTTCATAATATTAGATCCTATGGCTTAAAATTTAATCCTCAAACTTTTAAAACAGGGCCAGTTCACTGTCCCTCAGACCCGTTGGAGGGCCGGACTATAGTTTAAAAAAAACAACTATGAACAAATTCCTATGCACACTGCACATATCTTATTTTGAAGTAAAAAACAAAACAGGGCAAAAACACCGGGGGGCCGGATAAATGTCCTCGGCGGGCCATAGTTTGAGGACCCCTGGATTAAATCATATCACACAATTTATGTTGTTCTCCAGTTTTGAGACAATTCAATTGTCCATCCATTATAATTTTGACTAGCTTAAGATACTGTGTAAAACTTCTCTAGTGATAAAATATATACATAATATTTAACTCATAGTTCAGAATTGCAACACAATTTCTCCATAGAGCTTATGGTAAGAGAAAACTGAACAAGTTTGAGAAACTAATCAAAGTTCCATGAAATCCCATGTGGGGAGGGTGAGATTGAAGAAGCAAAGAGGCAGGAGGCATGAGATGAGGTGGGAAGTGAAGACGCCGATCCTGCGGGACATTTCCTGTTATAGCAGACATCATTACCTAGATGCAGGGTGTAAAAGAGAATCTCTTGATCAGAATGCAGATACACCTCTTTTTATTGTGCTTTGCTTTATTGTGGTATGCAGATTTTTCCCCCACAAATTAAATGTTTGTGGCAAACTGCATTGAGCAGATCTGTTGATGCCATTTTTCAAATAGCCTGTGTTCTTTCATTTGTGTTACATTTTGATAATTCTCACAATATTTCACTTTTTAAATAATGCTATTGTATACTTCACAGAGTACTAAAAAACAAGACAAAATACAAACTCACTGTCATGGTGTTGATTCTGATGTACAGTGACCCTTTGGAACAGGGTATAATTGGCCCAGTGGATTGCCAAGACTAACTCTTTAAAGAAATAAATAGTTTCATTTTTCTCCCTCAAAGCAGCTGGTGGTTTTGAACTGCTGACTGTGCAGTTAGCAGCCCCATGTGTTACCACTAGGCTAGCAGGGCTCCTTTAATGGAGTATAAATTTTAGTATAGTGTAAACATAACTTTGAATACATTAGGAAATAAAAACTTAATGTGATTCACTTGATTGTGATATTAGCTTTATTGCAGTGGTCTGTACGGAACTCATAATATCTTCAAGGTATGATTGTATGTTTGTTTTTCTTTCACTCTATGTCTATATAAGATAGGCAGGACAAACAATCCTGATGGGAAGACAATGGGACTGGCTGCTGGGGGACGGGATGGACATGGGAGAGGAGGGGCAGGGAGAGGGAGCAGGGAGTCAACAAACTCAGGGATAAAGGAACAACAAGAGGTCTAAAATTGATGGCAAGGAGGGTGTATTATCCCTGGTGGGGTTTGATCAAGTGCAATTTATCCCAGAGGAATTACTGAGAGCATAGTGGAGGGTGAGCATGATAGTGGAACAAGAGGAAGGTGAAAGGAAATAGAGGAAGAAGTAGGAGGCAAAAGCTATTTATAGAGGTATAGCTATAGACATGTATATAAGTAAATATATTAATTTACAATGAAAGGGATAGAGGCCAGTGTACATATACTTATATGTTAAGTATTAAGATAGCAGACAGACTTTGGCCCTCTATTCAAAGCCTTTCTTAGCACAAGAACACTTTGTTCTAATAACCTGGCACTCTGATACCTTCCCGACATAATCACTGAAGAAAAAATGGGTGCATAAGCAAATAGGGTAAAGAAAGTGGATGGTGCCCAGCTATCAAAAGATGTAGTGTCTGAGGTCTTAAAGGCTTGAAGTTAAACAAACAGCCATCTAGCAGGGAAGCACATAAGCCTACAAGGAAGAAGCACACCAGCCTGTGTGATCATGAGGTCTTGATGGGATCAGGGATCAGGTATCAAAGATCCAAAATAAACAAAAATGTCAATGTGAACAAGAGGAGTTGGAGTGGAGACCCAAAGCTCATCTATAGACAAATGGACATCCCACCACAGAAGGGTTACCAGGAAGGGATGATTCAAGCAGGGTGCAGTACAGCACCAATGAAACACATATCCTCTAGAGCAGGGATGTCAAACTCACGGCCTGCGGCCCCCAAGGTAATTTTTTGTGGCTCATGATTCTCTGAAATAAAATGAAAATAGAAAAAATTTTTATGAAGAAAATAGTTCTTAGGGGAGATTGAAGCAATAACCATACACACAATTCCTTCGTAACATTTTATTTCGGATCATTGTGGGCCACAAAATATTACCTCAGGGCCGCATGCAGGCCCACGGGCCACCAGTTTGACACCCCTGCTCTAGAGCAGTGGTTCTCAATCTTCCTAATACCGGCACCCTTTCATACAGTTCCTCATGGTGTGGTGACCCCCCAACCTAAAATTACTTTTGTTGCTACTACATAGCTGTAATTTTGCTACTGTTATGAATCAGGTGACCCCTGTGAAAGGATCATTCGACCCCCAAAGGGGTCGTGACCCGTGAAACCACTTCTCTAGAGTCTAGTTCCTGAATACTTCCTCCCCCCACCACTATCATGACTCAGTTCTATTTTACAAATCCAGCTAGACCCGAATACAGACATTGGTACAGATAAGAGCTCTTGACACATGGAATTCAGGACAGATAAACCCTCAGGAACAGTAGTGGGAGTAGCACTATCATGAGGATAGGGAAGATGGTGGGGGTGAGCAGGTGAAGGGGGACACATCACATAGCCCCTCACAGGAGGACGAATAACAAAATATATAGTCCCCCAGGGGACAAATAACAGAAATGTGGGTGAAGGGAGACAACGGACAGTGTAAGACACTAAATAACAATAGTAATATATAATTGATCAAGGTTTCACAATGGTGAGAGTAGGGGAGGGAGGGGGAAAAGGAGGAGCTCAAGTAGAAGGAAATTGTTTTGGAAATGTTGAAGGCAACATATGTACAAGTGTGCTTAATACCTTTGAATAAAAAAAGAAAACCTTTGACTGACAGATTGTTATACGATTTGTAAGAGCCCCCCAATGAAATGATTAGAATATATATACATATATACTAAGATAATGAAGTTAGTTTAATTTAAATATTTCCTTTAATTATAGAAAAATGTACAAATAAAATATGGAGTATTAAAAGAAGACCATTCTGGATGCTAAGTATTGAATGGATTAGATTGGCCAACAATGGATAGAGGAGGCCAGTTAGGAGACAGCAAAGATGACCAGGTGAGGCATATTGATATAGAATAAAAATGTGACAGGAAAGTGGAGCAATTTTTGATACCTTTTGAGATTGAATCATCAGGCCTTGGTGATAGCTTGGAAGGGAAATAAGGAAGGGGAATATATCAATGATACTTCAGATTTTTTTTGTCTATACATAACAACTGGTCAAATGATGATGTCCTTTACCATATTGGAGAAGTCTGGAGGGTCTGGGTTTTTATCCTAACAAGCTTCTTTCTTTTTTCTTGAAGGGTGTTTTTAAAAGGAAAATAACAGAATCTGGTTTTCATTATGAAAGATCTCGAGATAATTCAAGGGAAGAAGACTAAGATGCAATGTTAGATATTATGGGAGTTTACAATAATCTAAGGATGACTGGGTTTTGAATTAAGGATAAGTTGGACATGGAAAGACTGAGAAAGTTTTAACAAAAATTTAGGGGACCGAATTATGAGTCAGACATAAAGATTAAATTGGATGACCTTATAGAGGTTGGCTGGAATGAAGAAGAAGAATGTGAGAGTTATTTTTGGATTTGTGTATTGGTAGATAGAGAGTATATTACTGTCATTGACTGGGAATTAGTGCTGGTTCAGTTGCATGTGAGTGGATGGAGTTTCATTCATGGCCAATGTACCTGATGTACAGCCATCACCTGCCAGTAAACGTTCGCATGTTGCTGTGAAGCTGAAGAGGTTTCAGCAGAGTTTCCAGACCATGACAAATAAGAAGAAAAGTCTAGTAGGCTACTTCCAAGATCCACCTCATGTATCACCGGGGTCTGATCTCTTACTGAATACGGACATGGTGCTAGACCACGCAGCTTCCTTTCTGTTTTGTATGGGGTAGCCGTGAGTCAGAGCAACTCAATGGGAGCTAACAGCACCGCTGACTGGGACCTGGAATATCTGAAGCAGAGGAGATTAAGTAGGAAAGATTCAGCCTATGTATCCATCCATTCATTCATGGCTGAATCCTACAAACATGTTTGGATAACATTGTGGGCCATATACTATTGACTTGGCCCAATAAGAAAGCCTTTGTCAACAGAGGAGGGACCATTCCAATTCCATTTTGGTGTCTACTTTATGATAGTATCTACTTGAGTTTGTCCTTGAGAGCAGGCCTCTACTGGAATCCTGTCAGAATAATATGCAGAACTATGGGACCTGTATGTAAAAACAAAGAGGCAATGGGAGCACTCACTCAATCAGGGCTGGAACTCTTATCTCAGATGTAAATCCACTTATCCGTCTTTGAAAAATCTCCCCAAATCACCGTATGCTTTCAGACGTATGCATGCAGGTCACACAATTGTTGGTCCAGCCTCCAAGGCTGCAGCCTCCTCAGGAGGCTCTTCTTAAGGCCGGAGGATTCGCACCACTTTGAAGTGGCTGCTGGTCTTTATGGCCTCCACTTCCTCGATCGTTTCCTGAAGGCACTTTCAGCCAAACAGCTGCATTTTACATCCGCCCTATTCCTTCGGGGTAGGTCCAGCACTACCCCTTATATCGCGTAGTCAGTCATTATGGGTCCAAACATTTTGGCACACCGTAAAAGGAAAAAGCCTTGTCATGATGCTGTGCCTGCTGAGGAAAACCCAGTAAAGCGGGCAAGTTTGTACTTACTGGCTGAAAACCAGTAATGTGGTCCAGTCGTCTGGACTGACTGATCCACTCAAGGAAAATGTATACTAATAACTCTGCTGTTTGGTATTTTTATGGATGTGTGGATGTGGATTTGTGGATGTGTAGCTGTGTATGTATCCCAAACTGGATGGAATTTCTCTTCCTGACACCTACCTCGCTCAGCTTAAATCACTTTGCTACATGAATTCCACCACCACCCACCACATTACACAAGGCACAGGGGTGGTGAGCATCCTGACGGTCCTCTTCGTTTTCCTCTCATGCACGGGGGTCACTATGAGTGGAAACCAACCCAACGACCCCTAATAATAACGTCCACCTCTACAGAAGCAGACTGGCCATTCTTTCTGTTTGAACCAGCCGAGCCCTTAACCACTGCACCGCTCCGGCTCCAGCTCCAGGTCTTATTACCTCCGCCCTCTTCAGCTGCCTTAAACACAACTCAAATTGCCACTCTCCTACTGAACCTGGGTTCTCCATCTGCCTGAATGATCCAATCTGATGTCCTCAGAGTGACGACTCATGAGGTTCTGTAATAGCCTTGATCCTAGTTACCTCTCTACCCTCATCTCTCACCAGTACCCTCTCCCGCCGTCACATCCATGGAGTTGAATCATAAACATCTAAACATACCCTGTCCTCTGGTGCCTTAGTGGCTTTACAAATGCTGCTTCCACTGCCGGAAAAAAACACTCACTTCTCTCTCTGTTGCTGATGTCTACAGTCGTAGCTCAGGGAACACTTCCAAGGGTCTCTGCTCTTCCCAGTGGCTGCTGTACTGTGTCCTGCTACACTGCACACCAGCACAGTGAGTCGTGATGGTCCTCACCTCTGAGCCCTACCAGGTCTTGGTGCCAAGTGAAGTGTTCAACAAAATGTGTTTATTAACACCAATACAACTTGTATTAGGTATAAATATTATATTATGTGTATTAGTATCTTTGTGTATTAATCATTATTTGCATATGAAGAATATTCTTGTTGACATGATGAAACCATTGATTTTGCATGTGTTTGCCACCAGATGATGCTGTTCAAATAGAAAGTAAGCTTACAGGCTCTCCAAGGACGACAGATCCAAGCATTAGGTGTCATAAATTTAAATGTGTTTAACTTCAAGGGCAATGAGTGAAATCCATGAGCTTTGTCTATGCCAAACACATGGACAGACTGAAAATTGCGTATGCATATGTGTGTTATTATCAAACAGCTATCTTTTTATTACTACTGTTTGGGAACCTTTCTTTCTAACTGGTCAAAATGTTTTAAAAATGCAAACATTTCCTCTTCATTTGGGGGCATGGAATTGTAAAGCATGTCTAGGTGAGCAAAATGATCTCACCTTTGGGCTTTACAAACAGGCTATCTACTGATGAATGCCAGGTATATATCTCCCGGCTAGACTTCTCCCTCCAACCTCCGACTGCGGTCAAGGCCTTTTCAACAGGATTAGCAAGTTCTGTCAGTTGTCCTTCAGAATGTATCCCAAACCACCCTGTTCCAAGTCACCACCATTTTTTTCTGCTGGTTTTCTGCAGTAGCCTCCTAGCTAGTGTTCCTGCCTTTGCCCTTGACTCTCTTCAGTCTATTCTCAGCACAAGAGCTACGGTGATCCTATGAAAACTGAAATCATGTCACACTCTTCCCCACCTCTGCTCCAAACACCCCACAGCTTCTCGCAATCTCCTTCCACTCTACCCCGTGCTCATTCTAACCCTGGTATGTGGGCATCATCTTCCCCTCCATCCCTTAGACATAGCACATGTTCTCCAGCCTCAAGACCTGGGCACATATTGTTCTCTGTATAGAAGGCGCCGCTTCCTGATACCTCCAAAGGCTTTTACATTTCCCTTTCATTGATGCTTTCCTCCCCATGTCATCCCTTTGTCATGCCTTACCAGACAAATTGTCAACATGTCTCAAAACAAACACATCTGCCTCTCGATAGTCCTCATTTCCCATTTCTTTTATTTCCCATAGTATTTATCATCTCATATACTAAATGCGTACACATACGAGTATATCAATGCATGTATATGTATACACTTACAAATACACACACAACAGACATCAAATAGCGCATGGAAAGTTTCATTATCTTTTGGTTCTCTTTTTTCCATCAGTTTCTTTTACCAACCCGCCTACTCCCAAAGAAACCCCCAAATTGAGTTGGTTTTGACTCATAGTGGCCCTATTGGACAGAGTAGAATTGTCCCTGTAGGTTTCTGAGACTATGACTGTTCATAGAAGTAAGAAGCCCTTTCTTTCTCCTGCAGTGAAGCTAGTGGTTTTGAACTGCTAACCTTACAGTTGGTAGCCCAATGCAGAACCCACGACTCCACCAGGGCACTGAGCTTTTTGAAGTCGTCTCAAATATGTATGTATCTCTCTTTTTTTATAATTATCTAACTACCCCTACCAGAACTTAAGCTCCATGAGAGTAAGCATGTTTTTCTGCTTTGTTCATTGCCAACTCTAGCTTCTAAAACATCATACAGTACCACAGTTCCCACTGTTGATTCAACTTGCAGTAACCCTCTAGGGCAGAGCTGACTGCCCCTTTGAGTCTCTGAGCAGACAACCTCATCTTTCTTCCATAGAGAAGCTTATGAGTTTGAACCATCACCTTTCCATTAGCAGCCCAGTGCTTAACGCACTGCACAAGCAGGGGTCCTTCGAGCATTATATTTATTTATTGGATCAATAGATTCCAATAGTGTCCTTTTTTGTGTGTGTATAAATTTATCAACTAGATAGTTGCCTTTTTTTCACACCTAAGAAAAATAGATAATCTCTTTACGATATTGTTTGCATTTTAAGATACAGTCTCAGCATGTCAGTAAATCTTGGGGAGGAGACGAGCCACTCAGGGTGCCATGTAGCAACGTTGAAAAATGCAATTTTCCTCTAGTTCCTAAATGCTTCCTCCACCCTCCCCCCCTCCACTATCATGATCCAAATTCTACCTTGCAAGTCTGGCTAGACCAGAGGATGTACACTGATACAGATAGGAACTGGAAACACAGGAAATCCAGGGCGGATGATCCCTTCACGACCAGTGGTGTGAGTGGTGATACTGGGAGTGTAGCGGGAGAGTGGGTTGGAAAGGGGGAACCGATTACAAGGAGCTACATGTGACCTCCTCCCTGGGGGATGGACAACAGAAAAGTGGGTGAAGGGAGACGTCGGACAGGGCAAGATATGACAAAATCATAATTTATAAATTATCAAGGGTTCATGAGGGAGGGGGATGATGCCAGGGGTTTAAGTGGAGAGGAAATGTTTTGAGAATGATGAGGGCAATGAATGTACAAATGTGTTTTACACAATTGATGTATGTATGGATTGTGT